GCTTCACATACTTTCGGCAAACGAAAGAGTCGTTCTGTAAATTGTAAAAAGTTTTCATACCACGCATATAGCATATCATCTCACCACCTGTGTGATACTAGCCTTTCTTTTTTGATTTATACATTAACTTCAATATGTCTAACAATACTTTTAACTTCCTAAATTGTTTATTTAAAGAAACAGAATGAAAGAAGAAACTCGTAATTTGTTCAGCCCTAAAATATAGTAATAAAATTTGAGTGATGAATGGATACACTCCAATGAACACCCATAACATAGAAGTGGACAGGTGTGAAGAAGACACAGTACATCTTGTTTCCTCCATGTTTCTTTCACTCATTATCCATGTATAGATGTATGGATATTATCTGTCTATGCATATCCGTTAAGGAGTGAAAGCAGAAAGTAATTAATTAATTAATAATAATAGTAATGCTAATAGAAATACTCTTGTTCAGGAGAGACAAACAGTTGCCACTGAAACCCCTTTCAATTTACAAGAAATCTTTTTCAATTCCCTCAACATCCCGTTCCATCTGATGCCCACTATTTTATTGGGCGGAGACTTAAGGACTTTGACAACAAGTGACGTCTTCATTATATGATCATATATCGAACTACCGCCTCCGAACCCACATCGTTAAGTTTTTTCTTTTTTCCAGGAGTTTCAGTTAAAATTTTGTTGAACTGACAGGACAGATAGCAAATGCATGTATACATACATAAACAGTGAAGAGAACACCATATAAAATCCAGAATAGTGATCACTGAGACCAGAAAAGATTTCGCTGGTCGTCGTCGTGAATCGTTCATGTGGAAAGTGATCGTTCATCCACAAAAAAATCACTTACTCCGTCATTTTTGGATGTTCAGTTATGAGAACTCATGAGCACTAATACACTGAAGTATCTGTTTCTTTTGTATACTATACAGCTGACAAAAATGTAATGTTAAAATATTGGATTAAAAAGTTTTATCCAACTTCATCATTACTTTTTTCAAAATTAAGCTTTTCATTTTGGGCATAATCATTATATCAGTTGTTTGATTAAATTATGAAACAGTAATAGAATACCGTCCGTTCAAAAGCCTCGCTTAAATATAATTAAATAGTTACTGTAAGATTGATAGATTTTCTATGTATTAGAAAGATTAAAAGAAAAATTGATGCAAAATTTCCATGGTAATTCTTGTGATTATAACATAAATGGATTTCCATATATATCATAAGAGTTCAAGGAAAATAGTTCACTGGAAACAATTCAAAAAAAAGATAAAAGCAGCTTTCTTGCTAAAAATAGGTGAAGATGAATATTTCTGACATGAAAACTATTTAATCTGAAACCAAAAAATTTTAAATTAATGTTATGCATACATATATATGTTTTTTATGTCGTGTATATATTTAATATCCACATCCAATTTTTTAGCGGAATATTTATTGAATAAATATGAGTATATCAAATATTACACCTGGAAGTGATTTTGTTTCCCACGGTTATAGTATTTGATTCTAAACAGCACACAAAAAAAAATCTTACATCCATAATTTCCTGGATTTTGTAGATTGTTATATGGTTAAAGCTCGGAATGCAGAAAGGTAACCCCAACAGGATACAACAAAACAGGGTTGCTCCCTCATTCAAAAGGACGATTCATTGACGGAGTAAGACATTAATTGTCGTTTCGGATTATACTTGATCGTAGAAGCGTGTAAGCACGAACAATGCTGATGTACGCAGAAACGATCATCAGCCTTCAACAAATTGCCTTCTTCCATATATATTTTTATATCTTCCCTCAACAATACTTTAATGAGCTTCGCTTAATCAGCTTGCAAGTTTATCATCACCTAATTATCCATTCTCAATTTTTTTCGATTAACATACTTAAAAATTCAAAAATTTAAAATACAACAAAATTTTGTGAAAATTTATGAGTTAATTCAGCAAACATAAAAAGTAGAGCAATTGCTGAAATTAAAAATCAAACTACGCATTCTGTTGTCTTTGGTTAATTAAGTTGCAGCCTTTCACACAAGTTTTGTATAAAGGACTTTAGCTTGTGTAGTTTTTATTATCGGGTTATTGTCGAAAATACTTGCCATTAAGTATCTAACACAGAACTAGGAATCATCTAAAACTATGCTTTCTAATCTTCCTGAATTTTAATTAAATTTTAACTCATATGTTAATTAATACATTCACTGACACTCTCCCGGATGATATGCATTCGATTTTGAAAAGCATTGCAGCTAAATGAAAACAACTCCTTCGCCACTTCACATATTTTAATTGTAAATTTATTAGGCAATTCATAGGAATTAGTTCATTTTCGATTTAGCAATCCAACATTTCAACGATTTATGAATGTTTTTACAAGTACGACTTGTATACATAAGTCAGAGAAGCAGAGCGATACTATTGGCAGTATCTTGGAAGTACCGCAGCTGGAAAAGAAGGAAATGAAATCAATTATCTTCGGCAGTCCAGAAATGCAATGACTGCAAAGGGCCGAAGGTTACGGTAGGCGAAAATCATCTGATTTCTGTCTTTTGTCGTTCGGTGGCCAAGGAGTGACATAGAGGTTATTAATGGAACCTTGGAAGAAGGAGCTGAACGAAGGAGGGAGTACTTTAAAGGAAGTCAATTAGTGGTTGGCTGGTTAAAGCAATCCTTATTAGTGGTCGAATGTTCCGGTCTGATTTTCCTGTTCTCTGGCATTATAATCCTGTTTGTATAATTTATGCTTCAGTACACATTTCATGTTATTATGTATTGTACTGTTCATGAGCGGATTTTTCATGTTCATGCGTTTACCATTGCTCCATTATTTGCTTTGTCGGATTTATAATCAACTTGCAACCTTAGTGAAAACTGTAGAAACTACTTTCTTATTTTTATGTTAACCAAAATAAACAGCAGTGTTTTGTGTCTGGCCAAATTTCCATTCAAATAATTCCAAAATTTTGCTAAAGAATATCTAGATTTAAAAACTTGATACGGGCTTCACTTGATTGAAAAATAATATATCACAAATTAAATGATACACGTGAAGTATAGCAAAAGTGAATTTGTAGTATACATAAATCTGCTAAGTAAGTGAAAATTCCTCTCCATTTTTTGAACTTTTATTATGAACTGGAATAGACATCCATCAGTCATAAATTACATTCAGAAATATCAATACAGAAGGTCAAAATGATAAGATTTAATTTAATAACTTCTTAACAATATCTGTATTTGGTCACTGGATTGCCAAATAAGAAATTTAATTTATTAAAATTGTGGTTTGTTTTTTGCTTTGAGACTGTGATTTAAAAAAAAAAATCTGTTTTGATCGCAAAACAAAATTCGATGTTCTGCCAAAAAGAATCAGCATAAACAAATCTCTACTCAAAAATAAATTTGCTTGTTACAGTTTTCATAAACAGTTTCTTGGAATGAAATTAAAAATTTTATATTTTTTTGCTCATTACGGAAAAAGGAGAACGGAGGAAGATTAAAATCAAAATAAAAGATTGGTTAAACAACAAAATAACATGGAAAGAATGACAATCAGTTCCAATTGAATTTAGCCGGTGTTTCTCATAAATTGAAGTATATTCTAAAATATTTTATGAAACAACTGTAACTGTCAGCCTTTGATTTGTTTCCTACCGTTGCCGGTAAAATTGTGAGATCTCGATGAAGGCTTCAGCAGAAATTCACCTTTCCAATGTTGGAAAACTGGAATATATGAAAGGCTGTGGTCGGGAATGGAGCTGATGGCATGTTGGGAATAGAATTATTATTCCGACACATCTCATACACACTACAGTATCCTTGAAAAGTGTCACGATAAAAAATGAGATGCACGATGAAAAATAGACTCACAGAAAAAATTCATATTCACGCAATGGCCAATTTAATGCTTCAGTGAATCCTTTACAAACTATCTGATGCTCACGCAAAAGGGAACTGCAGTGCTGATTATTTTGAAAATCTGTCCTCCATCGATCCTTTCCCTTCCTCCTTCCAAAAACAGTTTAGACAGATGCTTCCGTCTTGTCGAACTATTGACATCGAAAAATAAAGATAGCGAAGGTAGAAAACATGAAGAGAATTTTTGCTCCTTTTTATTTACCTCTGGCGTAGGAATTCATTTTTTAAGCAAAATCTGGACAATTTTTTGTGGATTAACATTTGCTCGCAAAAGAATGCTTAAATTAGCATCGCTTCTAATTTCTAATAGATCAGCGTCAATAATAAAGCTAAATAACTTTAAGGCCTAATAAATATTATTTCGTTTTTGATTCTTCCGTTAAGATTTAACATTATAAAATGAGGCGAATTTATTGACAGATTAGTAATTTTAAAATCCATTATAGATTGACTAATATCACAATCAAAACATTGCCTGCTTCCAATATAAAGAGAAAATATCATATCATATGTAATGATTTTTGTAAGTTCAATAGTCCATTATGGAACTATCGTAACTATACAATAAAGTGTTTTATTGCGAAATTTAATGCAGATAATGCTAGAAGAAATGATGATACTGACTAAGTTGATATATCAAGAAGCTTCAAATCCTGGAAATCGAGCAACTTCAATTTTGGGATATATGCTGCACATCAAATCTTCCCACATCGGCTGCTACCAAATTTCTGAATAAATATTATTAAGCATCAGAATTTCTTTATTTGACATGAAAAACAAGAAAAGAGAGTTAGCAAAAAAAGGAAATATTTTAAGAAAGTTCTTGTGGCTTCTTTTTGTATATGCATAAACAAAAATTAAGAATTCAATTGTGAAATGTTAATGAAAAAAATAATGAAGTTACTACAATTATCAAAGTTACTCAGAACATCAGCATATTATTTCTGACATTACTAAAACTCAGTAAAATCCCTAAGGGGCAGCTATCTGTCATCAATTTCAAAATGCTACCTAATTACACTTCTTTGAAAATGATAGAATTAAATAATCTCTGAAATTGTTTATAAAAATTCTCACCTATTCCATTTCATCGGTTTTGCTCTTAGGCCCGTTAAATTTTGCACTCTCACCATATTCATCAACGTCTTGCTTGGTGTCCTGTAAATAGTTAAAACAAATTTTAAACTTAAAAAAATCAAATATAATTAAACAAGTAGATAGAAGACGTAACATAACACAAGATAGAATTGATCTTTCGGGTGTCCTCGGCATTAAACGGAAAAAATAGCGAATTGGCAATGTCACACTATGATTTTATGAGTATTTTAACCTGTTTAAAAGCTTTTAGGAATAGAATGCCTCGTATTAACCAACAAAACATGAAATTACCCTATTTTGTAATTGAGATTTTAGAGGTTTTGTAAGTTGCAATGAGTACTTTTCAATCAATTTGGTTAAATACAATAGAATTCAAGTTTCTGAGCAATATGATAATAATTATTTCACTAAACTCATTCTGTAAAACTTCTGTTATTCTCATAATGGCACCATATTTTTTTTCAAACCTTCTGGCAGTCTGCGAGATCCTTAACGTCGTTATTTGGCATGAGCAAATCTCGTACCATCTCAAATCCCAGAAGACAAATGTGCAATAAACGGCTGTTATTAAGCATCAGTTCAAAGGCCTAAAATTATAGAACAACTTCTATTGCAAGAAATTTAGTATTTTCCAATTGCCTTTCTTTTCCGGTTTTCTTTAATTTCTGAAAGTAGTTTTTCTGCTCTAAATATTTTATCATTTTCAATGATATTATTAAGGAAATAAAATTACTTGACGAGTATAAGATAGATCGCTTTCTATGATACATCGGTGAAGAAAGAGTGTTCGGTCTTCTCGCTCTTTCGCTTCCTTCAGCAAATCCTCCAGCTGTTCCAAATTAGACTTTTCCTGTTTAATCTTCTCGTTTGGTTTTTCAACATTCGAGGGTTCAGTACTGACATCCTATGAATTAATATTAGTTACGTAATTTTTGGAAACATTAATGACGTCGGTAAGCAGATATGCCAAGGATCAATTTCCAATTTGCAAAATCTAAAATTGAATATTTACAGGTCCGTGGATCAAAAATATAAAAATAGTAAGATAGATTATTTTTTGGACCTATGGAAATTTGACTCAAATTACATTATATGAAATGAGTGTCAATTATAGAAAAACAAGTAAAAACTGAATTGATTCTAAATGTAGTTTTGCACATATTGCATACAAATTATGAAATTGAAATCGGTTGTAGAAAAGTTCATACTGTTTGAAGTGAAAAATCCGTTGGTGTTCCGGTATTTTCCAATTCCATCCCACGAATATTTCTAAAAATACTCTGCATTTTTTCCCTCGGATAATCATTCTCGCATTTTATTTGCTTGGTATGGATTTCTTCACCACAGTGTTTGATCATCTCTGTCAGAGTATTCAGGCGTTTTTGAATCTCACGCTTTTTGGCGATTATCAAGGCCACGTTGTCATATTTATCGTCTTGCTGAAAGTTGATTTTGTGAGGAAAGTGCAATTAAAAACGTTGGAAGGAGTGTATTATATTAGTGCAAAATGGCAAAAAGCGCGGTTGTTCTGAGCTCTACATTGTTGTCATCAGTGAAATGAAAAATGTTCTGAATAAGTTAAACTCATACTATTTGCTTTCCGATCACTCTTCTCAGTCGAGTTTTCGTTGCTTTTTTCCTCTTAATTAACTCGGTACCATATTCGGCAAGCTTCTGACACTCGATTAATGCCTTGGACTTATAATAAACCATGCTCGCCAATTCATCCTAAATGTTTTAAATTTATTATTTTTACAAATACAACCGAGCAATCCCAATAGTGATTATTATTTTATTTTACTTAACTTTGTAAAAGTTACTTACAATCATTTTTTTGCGTTCTAATGACGGCGATTGAGCAGGAGCATGATTTTCGTCCATCGAGTTTGCCTCCTGAACAAGTGGTGATTTGTTTTTTTGTTTTTATGTCATCACTATAAGCTATTATCATCATACTTAGGATTTTAGCTACTACAAAAGTCAGTTTTTTGAAATCAGTGAAATTACAATGATCATTCAGAGTACTGATTCTCAACATAAGAAGTGGTCCAGAAATGAGTTTATTCTCCTATTCATCAAATCATCATCTAGTTAAGTGATTCTTCGAACTATCTTATTTGAATCCATTATGTAAAGGTTTTTCATGCATTCAGCTTCATACCGCACTTTGACAAAGCTTCATCTTATATAGCCTAGCCTTATGTGCACAACAGAAAATTTGATTTAACCCCTGTAATCATACTAAAGAATCAATACATTAAATCATAGTACTATTGTTCCTTTTTTTATGATTAATTGATTCTTACAAAAAGTCAAGAAGTTATGGACTTCAATCTAAAAAGCTGACATTAGTGCTGTTAGTATCTAATTTCTTGATCGCTTCTTCGTTTTTCATGTCAACCTGTAAATAAAAATTTTTTTTGTTTTACTTCATTTATTCGAAAAATATTAATATATTAAATATACAACAATTAATTGCTCAGTTAAATAGAGAGTTGTATTTTAACAATCACAAAGACATTATCCATTCTAAATTAAATCTCTGGGGGATTGATTCCCTGAAAACCACCGAACCCGAAAACCATCCCATTCCCAAAAGATAGAAACCAGATCGATGAAGTCCCGCACTCTGGATCGTTATAATTATAATCACTAATAGCAATATTTACAATATTTTAGTTTTTAAATACATTTTCTTAGTCGTCAGAAATAGTATGCAAATTGTTTTTTTAGTCCTCAGAAGCAATATGCAAATTTTCCTCCATTTATTCTTATGCAGCTTAAAATCAAAAAGATTGCAGCACAATTTTGATGTTCAAATACAGATGTTAGGGAGAACAATTATCAAATGTCTGTAAAGCTTTAAGCGAAACGAATTTCCGACAGTTTCAAAAATTAGTAGACATATGCATTAAATTATTTTGTTAGTATATATACATATGAACGTATCGCCGATATTGCCAAGTAGCTCTTTCTTATCAGACAGCTTTATGCAGCACTCTAACATTGATCCGAAATGATGGACAATTATTGAACTCCTCATTTCTACACTTCTTTACATTGAACATTAGTTGCATAAATGGAATTATCTATTTACTGCATAATATCAGACGATGTATTAATTAAAATCAAAACTAATACACGTTGATAAAAAGATAATTGTTAGCACAGTTTTATCAAAATTTCTAAAAGTCTTTCTTTCATTAATTAAATAAATTCTACATTTTGTTTATTCTTGTTAATTTATCACAGTTTTCACACTAATTGCTCGTAATTAGAATCGTGCTGAGAAATGATTTCGTTGCTAATTGTTCCAATCAGATCGGCTTCTACTTCCCTAGTCTCAGTACATACACAGCAGCCTTCAGTTTCATTCTTTTTGTCGTTCCTAATATTACATATTTAACGGTTATATTGGGATTTTTCGCTCATTTAATTTGAAGGGGAAAAAGTTGTGACGAAAATTTTTTGCTGAGAATTTCCACTGTCAGAACAAAATTGATCAGCCATTAGCGTCTTAATTAAATGTCTTCGATTCATTCAAGAAATTGTATGTCGTTATTTCTCTTCAGTTATTTTCACATACCGTTTTATTTATTGGCAAGAAGGTGCAAATAATTTTTCTGAAAAGTTGTCTTCCCTTCTTTGCGCTTCCTCATATTTATCCATTTCTTTAAGAACCAAATAACTATAAATTCAAAACTTTTGTTTGTTTTATGCAATTATTTTTCTTTAAAAACCTTACCATTATTGCACTTCTGTGTCCTTCTCGCCCATGTTTTATGATCGATGTGTGCACCGCTCATTGAACAACTGCTCATTGTCATTTAGCTACCATTAACCGTTCGCATCTTATTTCTTAACTGATTGAATTCAGAAATATCGTAAAATATTTTTTGTATCACAGTGATTTGAACGTGACAAAATGTATTCGCAGAAAATTTTTTGAATCAATTTGAAGGTTTAGCCGTAGAGACAAAAATGAAATTTTTGTTGATCTGTTCCCTTACTGTCATCTTCGATAACTTTTGGTAAATTCTTATTGTAACTGAAATCCTTGCAAATGCATCTTTCCAAATCTTAGTTTCAAAACATCGTCCGGCAAATGTTGAATTGACAGTATTGACTCATTAAGTATTATTATTTATTAAGAACATCAGAAAATTTTCAAATAAACAAGTTCACTCAATCTTCCTTTGTTTTGTATAAGATCTTTAAAAAATTTTAAAAACTGTCGGGAAAGAACTTCATATAAGTTCATCACCACACTTTTACTGTTTTTTATTTTTTATGTGATTCCGTTAGAAAATTTGTGTGCGTGAGTTGCAATTTTTAAGTGTTCAATATTTCTGATTAATAATTCCTTAACCAACTTTTCCATTCATAAATTATCTTTTTCCTTATTTTTTAACATTCACAGGCTTTATTCGAAAATATTGTTGAATTTTAACACAATGTGCTTCCGAAATGAACTTGTTAGTTTACATGGTTTTTGAAATTTTAGAGCAAGTTGAATATAGCCAGCTTCAAAACAAATGTTTGTTATTCTGTTTTGATTTATAACAAACTGAAGATTATCATAGATGAATGAAATTTAACTTTTTTTTAAATTGTCAACTATTCCTATAAACAAACTGTACGTCATAAAAAGAAAATTACGGTACAATACACGTCAGAAAGAAAAGAAACACGATGAAAATCAGCAGCTTACCCATGCATGATTTGTTTGTATTTTAATTTCAAAATATTTTTCATAGCAAAACCAACTCATTTCACTTTTCCATTATGAACTTCAAGAAATTGTAAAATTCATGTTGAGAATTCATACACCAGTAAACGTAAATATTAAATCTAAATATTAAATATAGAAGCATCTATCTCAGTAGCTTAATATGCATATGACTATTCAATCAAGATTGAGACTCGAAACTTGAAACAAAATTTCATTTATATCACTGCTGTAGAAAATTAGTAAATTAGTAGAATTATTAGAATAAATTTTTTGAGCCTCACTTTTCGTTTAATGTTTTACTTCCCCGATAAAAACCAGTTTTCACCTTATCGGTCGAATGCACCTTGCAGTTACAATTTGACAATGGCATTTATTCAGTGGCATTTATTTAAAAAAAAAATTTTATATCGTTTGAAAGTGCCTTTTTTAGAAATAGTACAACATGAAAAAGAAAAAAGGAATATCCCGTGATTCTAAATTTTTAGTTTACTGAGGAATTACTGATATAATATGAAGAATCCACCTGTCCTGACTTAGTTAATATACATTATTTTCATAATGTTCTGTCTTTTATAACTAATGCTAATTTTCTGGCACTCACTGCAAAATTTACGAAATAATATCGAATTAATTTTATGATAGAAGATATTAAGCGGGAAAATTTTACTTGATAAACTTTATTGAGTCTCTCAAGATTTATTTATCCTTACAACAACTGTTTTGCAAATATTTTTGAATATTTTATAAAAGTGAAAGTGAACTGAAATAAGGATATTGTTTTAAACATGTGATTTTTGATAACAAGGCTTTTAAACAGTTCAAAATTCAAATAATTTTGTGTAATATATGCAGATGAGAAAGAGAGAAAAAGAGATAAATCGAGGAAGCGCTTTGCATACTCAGATTGGTCACTAGCAGATCAAACGGATAGTTTCAGGTGCTGGGGAGAAAGCTAGAAATATTCCCCAAGGGAGCAGCAATGCTAAGTAAGTGAACTGACTGCTTTAATGCCATATGATATTCACTAAATTCCAGATGGCTTTCAAATTTTTAATAACATGTTTCAATATATTTGTTGCGATGATATTGAATTGTTAAACGATTCTTGCTATGACTGATTATTAAATAATGAATAAAATCACTGCGGGAAATTTCAATCTCATTAAATATATTTCCGCCTGAAAAATCTCATGAGATCAAAGACAAACGATTGTGGAATGAAAGCTGTCACAAGTGGCAGCTGTTTTGAATAGCAGCTGTCACAAATGGCAGTTGCTATTACAAGTAGTTCCGTTTCATCTATTCATCTAGTGCATGTCATTTTTTCCTGGGAAAACTCCGCTTATGTTATATTTTAGGCTCGTATTTCATTTTACTTCGCTCTCACTATGCATACTTTAAGAATATTTTCTTTCTTGCTTTGTATTGATTTTTTTTTAATTTCAAGAATTCCAGTGATTTGGTCTACAAAAATGAAATTACATGAATATATTATTTCTATGTAAGACGAAGCGAAAATTAAATAGAGCCGTAGAAAAAAGTATGAAGCGCTTATTTCACTTGAAATCTTTCAGTATTCCCGAGAATTTTTCTTTCTGTTTAAGAACGA